AAATTATGTCTGTTTTTGTCTCTCAATAGTCTACTATTTAAAAATAAATTATTTAAATTATTTTTATCTCATGAATTTTGAACAAAAATTATATTAAATATTTTGATACGTTAGATTTGACAAACTCTTATTCTAAAATTATTAATTTTTTAATTTACAAAAATAAACTAAAAAAAATCTTAACTGGTTTATTTATTTAATTATTTTAAAAATAATAATTATCTCTTAATTTATGAATAAAAAAATAACACAAATATTTCATAATCATTCCATTCTATTCTCTCACCGATTTTTTTTTTTTTTTTTAAAAAAAAGCCTATCTGAGGCCTGGTTTGAGGTGTTGCAAAAAAGTCAAAAAGCTATAAAAAAAAAGTAAAAAAGTTATCACTATTCGCAAATTAAAAATATTAAAAAATTAATATACATAATATTTTAATCAAACAAAATTTACACAATTTTCGGGGCTAAATTGACCCTTTAGTACCGTGAGAGGGGAAAAACACTAGGGGTTGTTTGGGATGATCTATATAAGTGCATTTTTTATCTTTTTATGAAAAGATGTGCAGAAAAGTAGAGAGGTGATGTGATGAAAAAACAAGATAAAAAGACGGATTATTTAGGGGATGCCAAACCACCCCTAAGTTGGACGGAAGTGTTGGGCCCATGGGGGCCCACCACGGGTCCCGTTTTGATAATCTGAACCGTTCAATATATAGAACTCGTCCAGAGCTATATGCTTGTAAAAAATTACGTTGATCGAAAATCGGTAACTATATGATCAAATTAGTTTTGTATAAAAATGGATGGTGTCATAGTTAACAGTTGATAAGAAAAACTAGCCTGATCAGATAGCTATTGATATCCAATCAACATGATTTTTTACAAGCATATAGTACTCGATGAGTTCTACACATTGAACGGTTCCGATTAGCAAAACGGGACCCGTGGTGGGCCCCATGGGCCAAACAGCACCGTCTATTTTATACCTGAAAAGGAGAGAATCAATCTCCTACCCCTACCTTCTGCTTGCCCCTTGCGCTTTCAACCGTACGGCCTATTCCATCACTAACTTCTCCTATACACTTATTTATACAATTTTTTAATACACCATTTTTCATAAAAAGTCAAAAAGTTAATCCAAACATCCATATTTTTTTCCTCAACTCTTTTAGTTTAAAAAGACAAAAAGTGCACTTATTTAGGACACCCCAAACAACCCCTTAGATGTTCCAAATTTTCTATCAAATGAATGATAAAATGTTTCGTATAGATGTGGAGTCATCACAAAAGTGTGGATCCCATGATACAGAGTGTGTTTGGTTTGTATTTTGAAACATGTTTTTGGAATAAAATTTTCAAAAACATGTTTGGTTACGAATTTTTTTTAAAAAATTCTAAATTACTTTTCTCTATGACATATCAATTAATCATTTTTTCTCTCTCTTCTCTCTTTCTCAGTCATTTTTTCTTTCACACATATCAACTAAACTACAATAAAATATCAAATTATTCCAAACTCCAAAACTATTTTCAAAATATATAACCAAAGAAATCAAAAAATATTCTAACCTCTCTCTTTAAAATTTTTTTTTTTTTTTTTTGAAAATTTGTCTTAAAGCAGAAAGCCTCTGTTTGGGAAGATGGGTTAGGTGGGGTTCGGGCTATTTTACTCACAAAAAGATAAAATAAATTTTTTAGCATAATAAGACAAAAAATTACATCCAATCCATAATCATTACATTTTTTCTCTCACAAAAAGTCAAAAAAGTTTAAAAAAACTCTTCACAAACGAAGCCTTTTAGCCTGGGACAAAAAATAACTAAAAAGTCAAAAAATTAAAAAGTCAACTCACTTCCTAAACTACTCCAAACCAAACACTTGTAATACCTAATAAATAAATAAACAAATAATAAAGAGAGCAAGGTAGAGTATAATAGCAATAGAGTAATAGGCTGTACTACCACACATTCACACTCAGATAACGTGAAGAATAAATTCAGACAATAATCCGAAACAGATGTTCTGGATAACCACACAGGTCCTATGACTAGACTAGACTAGACTTGACCTTCTCTGACATTTTCAAAACCTTTGCAAAATTTGAGACCACCATTGCGAATCCGAGATTACCCTGCAAATAGCAGGTGCTCTGACTAGACTAGACTTGACATTCTCTAACATTTTCAAAACATTTGTAAAATCCGAGATTACCCTGCAAATAGTCGGTCCTCTTACTAGACTGACTCTACCTTCTCTAACATTTTGTTTGGTTCAATGATTTTACAAAAAAAAGAAATCAAAATTAATTTCTCTATCTTATATATTAATCAATTATTATTTTTTATTTCTTTCTCAATTATTTTTTTCTCACATACATTTATTTAATAATAACAAAATATTAAATTATTCCAAACGCTCATAATAAATTATTTCTAAAATATATAACTAAACAAACCAAAACAAATTTTAAACTCTTTCTCTAAATTTTTTTTTAAAAAAATTTCTGTCAAAATCAAATCAAACACATCCTTAATATTTTTAACATTATTTATCATGTTAAGACGTGTTGGATAAAAGTAAGATCCGCATAAATATGAACACAATAAATTGTATAAAGTACATCCCGCTTTCACTCTTTTTTTTTTCCCTATTCACACCCTTTCCCCTTCTTTTTATAAATAGTAATAAACAATAATTAGGGGTGCTTGGGAAGGGTTATCACCACTAATAGCACTAATGCATTAAAAAAGTAAAAAAAAAAAAATACAACTCCAAGACCAAAACATCACATCATTAATGGCGGGACCCACTGTCACCTAATTAGTGGGAACACTAATTAGTGCTCCCAAGCATTTTTCTTTTATAAATAGTAATAAACAATAATTAGGGGTGCTTGGGAAGGGTTTTTGGATTAACGTTCACAAAAAAAATAAAATAAAATAGATTAAAATAGTTAATAAGATAAAATATCACATTAAATTCATAATTATTTTATTTTTTCTTTCACAAATATCACATCCAACAATAAAAAAATCTAACTATCTTCCCAAACACAAAAAATTTAACCTACTAAAATAGCCAAAAATTAAAATAACCTACTAAAATAGCAATTTACCAAACACCCACTTAAGTAACAATATTATAAATTCAGATTTATAAATATAAAATATAAAATTTAAAATTTATTTTAAAAAATAAATTAATAATTCAAATTTATTTTATTAATGAACTTTATAATTCATCAATTTAATTTTCATCACATAAATATATTCAAAATAAATTGTATATTTATAAAGGTGAATTCATAATATATTTTTTTTTATAATTAATGACTTATTTAACATCCTGACAAATTTAATGAGTTAATAATTTCACCAAAATCTTACGGGTCTTGTTGGGTTTGTTTTTTAGAAATAAATTTTGGAAAAAAAATTTAAAATTTTGTTTGGTTTAGTGATTTTGGGGAAAAAAAATCAAAAATTAATTTTTTTCTTCTACACGTTAATCAATTACTTTTTTTCTCTCCTTTGTTCTTCTTAATCATTTTTTTCTTTCACACACATCTACTCAACTATAACAAAATTTCAAATCATTACAAACTCTCATACTCTAAAACTATTTCCAAAATATATAACCAAACAAACCAAAAAAATTTCTAAACACTTTTTCCAAATTTTTTTTAAAAATTTATTTTCCAAAACCAAACCAAACACCCCTATAGTCTCTGGAGTCGTTTTACCTGGATTTGTTTTAGTTTAAAAATCAAAAAAAAAATTAAAAAATTAAAAATTTATAATTTTATCCCACACACCAACCCTTGTTGCAATCACATGATGTGTGCCCTTAAATGACCTTTTTACTTCTGCTTCTTTTTTTTTTTCTTTTTTTTAATTAATTAATTAATTAATTTTTAATTTTCTGTCCGAACGGCTTCTTCATGTCAAAGCCTACATATAGCTCGACTACTATCACAGTAGGTGAAGAGCAGCTGCACGAATATATTTTTTTTAAAAATAAGATTGATTATTAAGTGATGTTTTAAAAAGTTGGTAAAAGAAATATTTTTTTTTGACTTTTTTTAGTTTATTTTATATTTTTGTAAGTAAAAAATAGGGTTTTTTTTTTAAGGTCCCTGGTATTATGATTTTATAATATAAAAGACACTAAATATTTTCATTATGTCTAAGGTCCCTCAACAATATTTTTATAATGTCTAAGGTCCCCCTGGATCAAATTTCTTTGGAAAGTCTACAACAATTCTGAATTTCTCAGAATTTCTCTGGCCCAATTCTTCCTACAACTTCTCAACATTTCTCTAATGCATTTGCTGAGTCCAGAGAAATTTTGAATTTCTCTAGTCCAATTCTCTTCAAATTTCTCTGATTTGCAAATTTCTTTAGTTTTCTCCTAGAGAAATTTCTAGAATTTCTCTGGACTCCAAACTAAAGAAAAACAATGCACACACAAACACATTAAATAGAGAAAGAGAAAGAGGGGTTAAACAAATGTTGATACCTAAAGAAAAAATAGAAGAGACCCAACTAACCTGGAGACATGAAAGCAAATAGCACTCAGGAAAATAAATGGTCTTACTTTATTTATGGTTTGGTTGAGGAGACGATAGTGTAGTAAGTTTGGAGAAAAGCCAAGACAATGAGACAAGTTGCAGAAGCGAAAATTCAGTTTAAAAACTAGAGAATTTCTCTGAACCAGAGAATTTGTCTGGTTTCAACCCAGAGAAAATTCAGTTTAAAAATCAGAGAATTTCTCTAGTAGACCCAAATATTCATTACAATGACTGTTATCAAACTTTTCATCATTTTGTTCACAAAACATGAAAATGAAAACAATACCCAAAAAATAATTTAAATGCCACCGCAAACAAAATTCCTAGAGTCACCACTACCGATTGGAGTTCATAATACATTAATTAAAAATAAAAGTTGTAAATCAAAATCAACTAAAATCACAATTCAAAAATCCAAGAATAAGGAGTTAACCTGATTGATTGCTGGAACCATTTTTGCAAACTTAAGCAATTCTTTGATCTGCTCTATATTAAAATGGCTAACGCCAATGGCTCGAACTAGACCCAACTCCACCAGACCTTCCATTGCTTTCCATGTAGTCTTGAACCGATTCAGAAACTGCCTATACTCACTCCCTGACTTAGTAGGAGGATCAGTAGCATCTCCAAATGCCGAGCTCTCAGGCCAATGCATCAAATAGAGATCCAAGTATGACACTCCAAGATTCTTAAGAGATACTCTAACAGAATTCTCCATCTTATTGAGTGAATTCATAGTATCAGAATTTCTCTGACTTACTGAGGATCGCGCTTGAGTTCTTGTTTGTAGCCGAGCTGGTCAAGGCGAGCATGGCCTGAATCGAGTGTTGTGTCACCGTTTTGAATCTGCGATGGGAGTGCCATGTTTACTTCACCATGACCCCAAACCATCTCTCTCTCTCTATATATATATATATATCTACAACCTCATTGGAGCTCTGCTGAATCTTCTAATCTACAGAGAGGCTGACTTTTATTTGGTGTGTGAAATGGAATCTGATTTGATTAATCTCCATCTATCAGCTTCACTGCGCCACAATTCCGATCACAGACGATGCTTCTCCCCCTCTTCTTGGGGGCTCTCTACTGCTGCTGCGGCTGCGGCTGCGGCTACGGCTACGGCTACGGCTATGGCTCTAGGATTGGAGTAACAAAAGGACAATCCGAATCAGAATGAGAATGCTCTGATCATACTCCCACTTCGCACCTCCTTCGACTCCATCTTGCTGGTGTTAAACCCTAACTTCCATTGACGAGTAATAAATAGATAGAATATGATGAAGATGAGAGAAAAAGAGCACGAGATCGTAGAGCCGCCCACATCAGATCACACCCACAATATATATATATATATATAGATCATAGAGCTCAATCGGCTGGAGAATGAAGTCAGGGGTGAGGAACAAGAGTTGATCTGGACGGGTCTGAGAATGGAGAAGTTTAGAGAGAGAGAGAGACATGAGTTTTGATTTGGTAAGGTCAAATTTCTCTGCAATATGTTCAGGGATCTTAGACATCAAAAAATAATTTTGTGGATCTTTTCCATTACGAAAAGTGGGAGAGGGACCCTTGACTAATTTTTCCTAAAAAATATGAGAGGTGATATAACTCAAAATATGTAAAAAAATTAAAAACTGACTTTTTTTTACTCCCCAAAAGACCCCTAACTGTAGTTACATCAATGAGGAGTATTTTTTTAAAAAAATATTTTTTTACTAAAAATATCAAAAAAAATATTATATATATATATATATAAAACTGTAGTTACATCAATGAAGAGTATTTTTTTTAAAAAATATTTTTTTCTAAAAAAATTCAAAAAATATTTATTTTTAAAAAAAATATAACTGTAGTTACATCAATGAACAGTATTTTTATTTTAAAAAAATGCAAAAAAATAATTTAAAAAAAAACATATACTTATATATATATATAACTGTAATTACATCAATGAAGAGTATTTTTTTTTAAAAAAATATTTGTACATAAAAAAATGGGCGAAGGTAGCTAGCTATATCCGGACCATTATGTGCTAAGAAAAATACTTGAGAGCACTAAAAAGAGAATAATAGGGAGAGCACTAATAATGTGGCAGTGGGCCCCATCCACTTTCTATGTCTTTTTTTTTTTTTTGTCATTCTCAATGCATTAGTGCTATTAATGATGTATTTTTTAATTATCTAAATCATTATTGTATGTGCCAACAACCCCATAGCACCTAAGCCTATATAACTGTCCATGACTGCAAGAATTTCTGCTCCAACACTTCACCGGACCCCATGTCAGGTAAAGTCCCATGCTCACGACTTGACCAGCAAATTTTCAAGAGCAAAAATGTTATTTTATTTATTGTTATTTTATTTACATTATTTTATTTCACATTTTCATAAAAATTCAAAAGGTTCTTTCCGTTGTGTTTAAAAAAATATATGAGCAAATATTTTTTTATATTATATTTTAGTTAAAAAAAATTAAAAAGTTATTAAAAAAAAATAGAGTATGTTTGTTTTGTGTTTAATAAGTTGATTCACTTGTTTTTATAGTTGATTTCATGATTATAAACGAAAAAATTAAATGATTATAAATTATATATTATATTTTATCTTATTAATCATTTTAATACATCTTGTCTTTTATTGAACTATTTTAACCTAATCCCTTCTAAAATTGATAGTACTTTTTTACCTGCCAGTGATATTGATAAATAAAATTTAATTTGTTTATTTTATTTTTTTTCTAACGAGGTTTAATAAATAATTATTTTTTAACAAATTTATTAACAGACACACTAATTTTCCTAGGAGTTGTTTGGAATTTTCTTATCTAGTCTATTTTTTTATTTTTTATATATAAAAAAATATAGAGATAATGTGATTTAAAAAAATGCACTTATAAAATAAATGTTTTTTTTAGTGCATTCCCAACAATCTCATAATCTATATATATGTAAATGAATATAAAATTTATTGAAAATTTGCTAAATAGAAAAATATATATATATATATATATGTTTAATTTTTTTATTTATTAAATATTTAAAAAAATCACAAATATTTTAATTTTTTAATACTCATGGAACAATATTCTATTTTTTTATTAAATTGATATTTAACCCTCTCTCTTTAAATTCTAAATTTAAAAAAACATGAAAAATAAAAGTTACGTTTAAGTCAAGTTTGGCATGTCACAAAAAAAATAAAAAAGCAAAAAAGTTATTTAAAAAGTTAAAAAGTTATCACTATTCACCAAAAAAATAATAAAAAATTAATTCTACACACAAAATTACAACACATCAATCTGACAGACTCAGGTCTGTGCTGCGTTGTGTAACAAAAATTGCACAGTTGGGGTGTAATTTTAACACACTGATGTTCGGCCGATAAGGGCCCATCATAGGTCCCGTTTTGATAATCTGAACCGTTCAATGTGTAAAACTCGTCGAGTACTATATGTCTGTAAAAAATCACATTGATTGGATATCGATAACTACATGATCAAATCAGTTTTGTATAAAAAAAAATGAAAGTGTTATAATTAACGGTTGCATTCAACAGGTTATTTGGGGTGTCCTAAATAAGTGCACTTTTTGACTTTTTGGACTAAAAAGTTAAGGAAAAAAATATGATTATTTGGGTTAACTTTTTGACTTTTTATGAAAAAATATGTATTAAAAAATTATATAAATTAGTGTGTAAGAGAAGATTTGTTTTTTGGGTTGTACAGCTGTCCTTCATGCGCAGGTTGAATAGATGGTAAGGGTAATTGTCTACTTTTAAGGCATTTTACTAGACGGTGCTTTTCGGTTGGTGGGGGTCCATCACGGGTCTCGTTTTGATAATCTAAATCGTTGAATGTGTATCACTCGTCGAGTACTATATGTTTGTAAAAAATCACGTTGATCGGATATTGATAGTTATCTGACCAGATTTGTCTTTTTTCAACCGTTAACTATAACACCATCCTTTTTTTTTTATACAAAACTGACTTGATCATATAGTTATCGATATCCGATCAACGTGATTTTTTACAGACATATAGTACTCGACGAGTTATACACATTGACGGTTCAGATTATCAAAACGGGACCCGTGATGGGCCCACACGGGCCGAACAGCAATGTGTTCAAATTGCACCTGTAACGCCCTGAAAATAATACATAAAAACCCAACCTATCCGACAATCATGGACATAAGAGAATGAAGCATATTTCTATTTATCAGAGTATTCATTACCAAAGTATTACATGTTAACAACAAAAGTAAATGCCCTACGGGCTTACAACTTTCCAAGTCAACACTTGGGTTCAACAAAAAAAGAGTTCTAACTCTTTATACAAAATAAGCCCTTGACTTGATTTACATGTAATACACAAAAAAAATAACAACAAAGAGCTCCCTCAGCCTGTAAGCCTCCCAAGCTACGTCCTTGGAGGTGGCATATCACCTGTACCTGAAAATGATGTCCCATATGGGGTGACCCAACGCCCAATAAAGATATGCTAAACATAATATGAATAATAACTAAAACATTAGCTTTTGATAAATGTTTAAATCAAATGAATAAACATACATCTCTTTCTTAATCAATTCATATTTACCGATATATATATATATAAATACATCTTATTTTCATTTCGTTATCCAAACCATTTCATAGATAAGATTCTCAATTCAACCAAACAGTTTATAACGAGACTGCAACTCACATCATTAACATTTTCATGCTTCAATTCAAAATGAGATTTCAACTCATATCAATAATACTTTAACACTTCAATTTATCTACGTTATGCAAACGCATTCAAAATTTCGGGTCTTTCACCCTGGACACTCCGGCCAACTTAATTTTCATTGGAGTCCATCCCCTATCTTCTCTCAAACCTTGGAGTACATCCCCTGTCTCCTCCCAAACAACATACATATGTAATGTATTTAAATACTTATCATATACAATGACCAAGCAAAGCACATATTCAATGTGTCATTCCATCCGTCATTTTCAATGACATACTCAGTTGATTAGTTTTAATTCACCTAATCATCATGCAGTATCTACAACAATCAAGACTATCCTCCACCGATAACCCAAAACAATTATTTCTAAACAGATAATAATTATCAAACAGATAAATTATCTACAATTTCAAGGATGAATGATTAATCAATCCAACTCCACCATTCCATCTCATAATTTCCCAATTCCATTATTTCTAAACAAATTTCATGATTCCATAATAAATTTCATTTACTACACAAATGACCCGATTAACCCCAACTAGGGCATTTTCCTCATTTTTCTCAACATTGACCCAAGGGTCCAAATATCATCAATAAACATCATTAACTTCATTTTAAGACCCATATACACATGTATAGTTCAAAAGGACCAAAACCCCTCTTTATACATTTCAAGTTTTGAAACCTTAACACCCAAAATTTCCTAACTTCAACATCAAATCAAAAAGACTACACGTTTATGTCAAAGACTATAAAAATGAGTAGTTATCCCTACCTCAAGAGAAGAGACCCAAAGGAGATGATGAACAAACTCGAAGGTGCTCCAAATCCATAACTTTTTGGATCAAAATGGAGGTCTTGAAAAGCTCTAACACTTTAATGAAGGCACAAGTGTTGGGTCTCACTAAACCAAGATCAAAATGTAGAGAGAGAGAGAGAGAGAGTTCTAGAGAGAGGAGCTCTCAAAATAGGGTTTTGGAAA